ACATAATTACTATATGTAATGTCATAATCTTGCTGACCTACGATTAGATGTCAGGTTGAGAATCATCTACTAGTGCACTGGACTTGACTGCCACAGATACCAGCCAACCTAATCAAATCTTGCCCTTGCCCTGCTTTACAATTTCACCATTTAAATTAATGCTATGATAGCCTGAAGTAAACAAAATGATCTCCTGCTGCAGAAACTTATCCTAGATGATGATGAAACCACAACCTTGAATATTGCAAATGAATTTCCTTTGGCCCTGTTGGTTGAAGGAAGCACCTTTCCATATGTGGATACAACTACAACATAGGCATTAGTAAAGGAGCGAACTTCCTCATAGTCATTTGTTGTCATGAAAGAATATATATGTTCTAACAGTCATTAAGATTCAACTGTCATAAATGCAGATTTGCTTCCGATTGTACTCAGCAATAAATGGTAAGTGTTGACGGAAGGCATTTCTAATGTGCAAATGGGTAACTGATACATGTATTCCAAGCTGGAAACAGACTACGAGAAGGTCATGCATTGTATCCTACACCTCTAGCCCTTCAATGAGTATGTGCTCAACATAAGCAGTGATGAATGCTGAAGTATGGCACTTGTGGAATAGGTCAGCATTGATGTAAATGTATGTTTAACCTTGTAGCTGCAAAAAGTAAACAATGAGACAACACTCAATGTATGAAAGCTACCTACTATTTGACATAGGCTTTGAGATCCCTGAATGCATCATCCTGCAAAAAACTGCAATAAGATAAGTACAGCAACAAAGTCAAGCAATCAACTTACATCCTGGACATTGTAAGTGACAGGTTCACCCTGTATGGGGATTATATTTCTCCTCTATCGCATGCTCTTGCCATCTTGGAATCCTCTCCAAATAGCTCCTTGCTCAGTTTCAGAATAAGTAGAAATCAAGATCTCAACATGCTCATAGCTAAGCATCCGGATATTTTTGACGAGTTTCTCCATGGACTCAGCATATTTGAGGGTCTTTTCTTCTGTTCCAAAGTCGAATATAATTCCATGGTATTGAAGATTGTCACCAGTTCAATACATTTTTAGGATGTTGTGCATGATAAATGCAGGTGAGCCATAAGGATTGGCCAGGCCATGAAGCACTAAATGAAGCACTAAAATTGGGTTGCTGCACAGCTGTGAGTGACTGGTCATCTCATTGCACTGAATAATTTCAGTGAGAACAGGTATCGATGAGGTACCATTTGCATGCTCAAATTTCTAAGTAGTTTGTTGGAATAACTTTGAAAAACTAGAGATGATGCATGAAATACAGTTTCTTATTCTTCTTTTTACACATTTCATGACACCCCAGACAGATAAACTAAATGGCAGGATCTTTGATCTACTCCAGAAAATCCTTTGGAATTATAATACATTTGGTGCACACAGTATGTAGGCATTGGAAGCAATCATACATATTGCTACCATTCCAGCAAAAGAAGCAATACTAAGAAAAGTCAATAGTAAGCTATGGAACCCAAAAAAACACATCTTTTTCATTATAATCATAGGAACAGTGTTCATACCACTCAAGAACTCTCATCAACTGGTACAAATATAATCATTGTGTTTAGCTCACCACAGCGGTCGCATGGCCTCAGGGCATTTGGACTGGTCCCAAGCATATGCTTGACCCTCATCAATCAAAGGTATGACATGGTTGATGGTGCATAGAGGAGGCAAAGGTGTCTCAATTGCTTCTTTACAGATACCCTTTGCATAGTCTACCAATTCCTGTTAGTATAACTCAATGTTGTCGACCCCTGGGCTGGAACTTTTCAGTTCTAACACCTGTGTCTGGGTACCCCAGATAGGCAAAGGTATGAGGCTCCATATCTTTATTTCTGTGGGGTTGAAACCTAACAACACCTGGTGCCAGTATAGGAACAGCATGCCCAGAATCATGTTGTATACTTCAAGATTTGTGATGTCAAAGGTACATTGTCCTGATACATCCTAATACTTGAGCTCAACCATTATATTAGCTTTCACTATGCTATCAGATCCCGATACTGCCAGTTACAGAGTGATCGGTGTAGAAACAACAATACTGCGAGGCGCGAATGAGGCTCCTGGCTGTATCTGTAAATGTTGTAGGGTCACGTGTTGCCTAGTCTGCTATACTTGTGACAACAAGTGCATTCGACTCTAAAGGGGAAACGAGTGCAGCAAGGATCTAGAAGTAGGCACTGAAGCGAAGCACGAGAAAGTGCAGGTGTGCGCAAGGCACAAAGGCATGGGAATGCACGCATGTGCTGCATGGGAAAGTGCACGCAGGTATGCGGAAATGAGAGAGAATAAGCTTAAGTGATAATATGATGCAAGATAAGAGATATGAGAGTGCAAGATGTAAAGGAATAGATTTCTACTGCGACTTTCTAGGTAGTAAGTAGTAGGTAAAGTGAGAGGTGAAGTAAGGTAGAAGGTGTCCTCTATAGGTGCGCTAAGGCGCAATTGATGTTTAGGGTCATCCCTGACCTCTGATGATGCGGATGGCAATAGCGGTGACAGCGATGGTGCGATTGGTGAGGTTTCTTCCTTATGCGATGCGATAAGTGAGCATATCTTGAGTGATGGCGTAATAACTTCCACAATGGGCGCATTATTGTGCAATAGATGTTTAGAGTCATCCCTGACTGCTGGCAATGCGATAGCGATAGGCACGCGTATTTCAAGTGATGGCGTGTTAGTGTGCAATAGATGTTTAGAGTCATCCCTGACTTGCAATGTGATTGGTGATGATGATGCAGATGATGATAGAGATTGCGAAGGAGATGGTGCTGATAATGAAAGTGAAGAGGCGCCTGCGGTGCACTTCTGGTTGCGCTTTGCAAGTGCACGCTCGAGTTCGTGATCTAAAGTGATGCAGTCTGGTATAGCTTTGCATGCTGGTGCAGTTGATGGTTCAGGTGCGCGTGAATCATGCGAAGGCGTGAGAAAGGCACGAGAATAGGAACTGGTGGCCTTTTGTCAAGTACAATACCTGAGGATGCGCAATAGAAGAGTCTAGCTGCCACACTAGCGCTAGTGGTTGTATCCTGTGTTGTACAGCTTGCGTGATAGCAATCTTTGCACTTAGCCACTTTAGCTTGCACTGGCATGGTCACTGTGACTAAGTTTGCAATTGGCGCTGCCATGGGCGTGCGAGCTTGGTGCAGGAAAGGCACGCACAGGCAATAGGAACTGCGCAGCTGCAAAGACATCCATAAATGGGTATGGGTCGTATGGATGGTGGTCAGGGAACTTGATCATAAGGCACAAGCAAATTTGCACCTGAGTGTTGCTAGGGATTCCTTCCATGAATAAGCGGTCATGTTTGGCCTTTCCAATATGGTCTTCATCCATGAGTGGCTGCATAACCTTCCTGAATGCACACAAGTAATTGCTTAGCTCTGTGCAAGAGGGCATCGGCTTGTTAGCATATTCGCGCGCAATGGCGCGCAAGTCTGCAAGCGCATAGCATGTAGCGTCTTTTACCATCCCATCCGGGATACATTACCTTCACCTCATCTAAGAAGGTGTTGTAATCACTTACTGCCACTTCAAGCATGCCTCCCCATAGTTCTCGATCGTTGCGTTCAAGGTAGCAAATAATACCTTTGATGCGGTCGAGTCCTTGGAGTCCTGCTTCATCAGCAAGCTGCTCATATGCATTGATGAACTCGGCGAGGTTGTCTGTAGTACCATTGAACTTGGGTGTGTTTGCTGTGCCACAGATAGGCATTCTATAAGGCATTTGAAGTGCATGAAAGGTGCGCACGTGAGGTGCACAGGCATGGGAATATTGCGCGCATGCAAGGCGCGAGAATGTGTGACTAGAAAATGGTTAGCTTTTGATATGCAAAGAGATTGACCTATATGTGTTAATTGGCGCTAAGTGCGAAGATGGTGCAAAACTAGATCTTGCTGACTGTTCCCCTCGCAGTGGGCTCCAGTTGTAGAAACAACAATACTGCGTGGCGCAAACGAGGCTCCTGGCTGTATCTGTAAATGTTGTAGGGTCACGTATTGCCTAGTCTGCTATACTTGAGATGACAAGTGTGTTCGACCCTAAAGGGGAAGCAAGTGCAGCAAAGATCTAGAAGTAGGTGCTGAAGCGAAGCACGAGAAGGCGTGCAGGTGTGCACAAGGCACAAAGGCATGGGAACGCGCGCGCGCGCGTGATGCACGAAGTGCGGGAAAGTGCGCGCAGGTATGCGGAAATGAGAGAGAATAAGCTTAAGTGATAATATAATGCAAGATAAGAGATATGTGAGTGAAAGATGTAAAGGAATAGATTTCTACTGTGACTTTTTAGGTAGTAAGTAGTAGGTAAAGTGAGAGGTGAAGTAAGGTGAGGGTAGGAGTGGTAAGATAATGCTGGCACTTATATACAGTACCTAAGCACTGTCATGCAGAGCCGAAGCGCTACCGAGTAAGGTCTAGTATGTAAAGATATATATAAGTAAGGGTCCATGATAAAAATAAAGGTGGAATGATATGCAAATAAGGGAAACGAAAATACACACACTAGAGAGCTTGGTGGACAGTAGATGGATGCTCCTGGATGGCTGGTGCTATAGGGCGATCAAGCGCAGGAAAGCGCACACGCATATACATTGTGAAGCACGGGAAGTGTGCACGCATGGCGCGCGTTGCGCGGGAAAGCTGCGCCTCATATAGAGATAGCTGCGGATAGTGCACAAAGTGACACTACAAGTTCATGCTATGCACTCCCTAGTGAAAACTGCCATATCAGGCCATGAGAGGTATGAGTCTCTACATCGGCTTATCAAGTAAGTCATACCTCAACTTAAGTTGGTCAATGACCATACTTGATATAAGTCTGTCAGCAATCTGGAGTCCAAGAGGGCTCAGCATGGCTTCTCATTAATATGGACCACTACTATGATTGACTTGGGAAGGATCTGAGTGGACTCTTTAGGCCTGGTGGCCAGTCAATGGAGGTAATGGATATCAGGTAAGTCTGTTTATTTAGATTGGGTAGCACAGAAGAGTTCACTAATGGTCATAATAGGGACTCCTCCTGTGATATCCTCAATCTCTTCTTGCCTGGAGGTGATGTCACCAACCTCCTTTAACACACTGATGGTTGCAGGAGGTGCACCTCTTATGATGTCTTCAATTTCTTCTTGTCCATGAGTGATGTCCTCACTCTCCTCTTGTTTAAGGCTGATGTCCTCAGTCTTCTCTTCATCAGAGATTTCACAATCAAAGAGGAATGGGATGTCATTGTCCTCTGTGTCGCCGTTAGTCGTTTTCCATCCAGACTTGTCACCATCAGTATCCCACACATACTCATCGCTAGACTCTACTTCATAGTAGATGTGTCCACATAGTGTTACATCATCACTGCTTTCAGTCAAGTCACTGTCCTTGGTCAGACAATCAGTTCATGAGGTCAATGTAACACTCCAGGAGGGTCTAAAGGAAGACTTGGTACATATCAAATTCCTGAAGTTATGTAGCTTCAGGTCAACTAACCATGTAACCATGTCGAACACAGGATTACATAATTGTTCGTAATAGATGATGTACTCGTCATAGTTGTATTTATTGCTTAGGAGGTACATATTTGGGCCTCCATAAGTTGAAAGGCTGAATCTGTTCTTACTGAAGGAATCAAACAGAGGATCATGGAGTTTGTCTGTAGGAAATGGCACTCTAAGATGAAGGATCACCAAGGCTCTGGATGTTACAACGAGGTGTTTCACAGACTCAAGTAAGTGCAATTGGTCAACGTTGATGGCCATGCCATATAAGCTGTTTGCAACACCTTCCTCAATTGCAGCTGACCTGATGTTGGCTTCTGTCATACCTGCGGAGTGTACTTGCAGTGATGAGACCTTGGAATTGGGCCTGTAGGGTAGTTTATGACACTTAGGGCAATCTTTAGTTAAGTATCCCTTCTGCTCACACTCAAAACACTGGTCATTGTCTCTTAGTCATTTAATGGCTTCTGTGCTCTTTTTAGTACCACTGGTGGGTGGCCTAGGTGCATTCAGCTGGCAGGAATGTTGGTCACATCAATCATCCATGCGAGGGGAGTGGACAGCATTAGCTGAGAGGAATGATGTGTGATTACTATGTTCTTGATGCCTGGGCCATGAGTGTCTACTAGTTCTCATTTCAGATATAGTACCCTGATGGGCTATACTTATGGCAGCAGTTGGATTGAGTGCTAGAAAAATGTTAGGGTCATGAGAGTTCTCAAGGAACGTGCGCTCAGTATGTAGAGCTTTCTTTTCCAGTGTGTCAAGACTAATTGAGTTTGGCTCATAGCCTTTATCTACTAATGAGGCTTTGATATAGGGCTTGCAGTGTGTTCAGAACTGACAGACAATTTCTTGTTCATCAACATTCTCAGCTGTATCAGCCAAGTCACAAAGTCTTCATAAGTAATCCCTAACTAGGAACTTCTGTCTTTGCAGCATCCAGAAATCAGGAGGGAAAAGTCAAAGAGTTGCTCGAAGAACTCAGTAAGTGAGTAGTCTTTCTGGAGGTCTAAGATATTACACTCAAAGAACCTGTAGGCTTGTCCACCTAGGTCCTTGCCTAGCATGTGAAGCAATTGGCTCATCATAAGTCTAGTGTGGTCCTTCCATTCCCTCACTTCCCTCATCCACTTCTTAAAGGTCGTAGTGTTTGCTTCGCCATTGTATATAAAAGGTGGTGTAGACTCATGCCTCTCATGGCGTGATATGGCAGTTTCCACCAAGAAGTGCATAGCACGAACTTGTAGCGTCACTCTGTGCGCTACCCACAGCTATCCCTATATGAGGCGCAGCTTTCCCATGCAACGCGCGCGCGTTCCCATGCTTGAGCACCCTATAGTGCCAGCCATCCAGATGCATCCATCTACTGTCCTCCAAGTTCTCTAGTGCGTATATTTCTATTTCTCTCATTGCATATTGTTCCACCTTTATTTTTATCATGAATTCTCACTCATATATATCTTTACATACCTACTCGGTAGCGCTTCGGCTCCGCATTACAGCGCTTAGGCACACTATATAAGCGCCAGCAGTACATGTACTACTTACTGACATTTTTACCACTGACTTTTCCTACCTTTCACTTTACTTTACTTTTACTTTCACCTCTCACTTTACCTAGTACTTACTACCTAGAAAGTCGCAATAGAACTCTATTCCTTTACATCTTGCACTCTCACATCTCTTGCATCATATCATCACTTAAGTCTAGTCTATCTATCATTTCCGCATATGCACGTGCGCTTTCCCACGCTTTGCGCTAATACGCGCACGTGTTCCCGCGCCTTGCGCGTACCTGCGCTTTCTCGTGCTTCGCTTCAGCGCGTACCTCTAGATCTTCGCTGTACTCACTTCCCCTTTAGGGTCGAACGTGCTTGTCATCTCAAGCATAGCAGACTAGGCAACACACGACCTTCAACATTTTTAGATACAGTTAGGAGCCTCATTTGTTCCTCTCAGTATCATTGTTTCTACAGTGGTTCATTTTTAATAAAACTTTGCTGATATTTTAGTAGGTTGAACCTGGCTCTATACTCGCAATGAGCATTCCATTTGGTTCATCTGACCTCCGGTAAGTCACTCTTATGGTCAGACTCAGGTTCTAATACTAAGGAATTGATGCCAAAGTCATTCTCAGAATGATCTGTCCTTCTCTTGTAGGTCTTACCCTTACTTTCTAGTTCGGACATCATCCAGATTAGTCTTATCACTTGTTTCCGAACATCTGCCAGAATTCCTGCGCATCAGACATTGGACTCTGGATATCATCCAACAATCTTTGGACATTGTTTGACAGCCTTCAGAAGTTAGAGGCACATACTCAGGTAAGGGGCACAGCACATGAGCTGAATCCAAGCCCTTCAGATTCAACCCTTGAGCATGTTCTTAACATCTCCTCATCATCCCTATGATCTTAAGATTAATTTAGAAGAAGGAGTGTCTCCACCCCTTGGCACCATCTATTTCCTTTCTCCAGTCAAGCTTGCAGCTCTTCACAAATTCCTTGATGAGAATATTGCAACTGGACTACTTCATTCCTCATCCTCTCTGCATGGAGCCCCTGTCCTTTGTGTCAAAAAGAAGGATGGTTTCCTACATCTCTGCATAGATTCCCGAGGTCTCAATAAAATCACAAAGAAAGATTGCTACTCACTTCCCCTCATTTCTGACCTTCTTGATTCTTTGAGCTACACAAAAGGTTACACTAAAATTGACCTCCAGTCCGCTTATCACCTAGTCTGGATAGTGGAAGGAGATGAGTGGAAAACTGCTTTTCGAACACACTATGGCTCATATGAATGGTTGGTTATGCCTAAGGGTCTCACCAATGCTCTGGCGGTTTTCCAACACTTTGTCAATACCATGTTTGCCGATATGCTTGACATATGTGTTATTGTGTACCTCAATGACATCCTCATTCATTCCCAAGATCTTGCATCTCATAAGCAACATGTTCTTGAAGTCCTCTGACACCTCTGGAAGCATTGTCTGTATGCTAAACCAGAGAAGTGCAAATTTCATTCCAACTCTGTAGAATACCTTGGCTACCTCCTATCTCTGGCTGGCTATACCATGTCCTCCAAAAAAGTCCAGATTATCTGTGACTGGCCAGAACCTCAGAAAGTTATGGATATTTAATCATTCCTCAGATTTGCCAATTTCTATTGTCACTTTATTTTTAACTACTCAGACATTGTAGTTCCACTTACATGGCTCACTCGCAAGGATGCTCCCTAGAATTTCTCTGAGGATTGCTGGAAATCTTTTGAAACTCTCAAGAAAGCCTTCACTACCACCCCAGTGGTTATGCACTGGATGCCAGATGTTCCTATTGTTGTTGAGACAGATGCTTCTGATTATGCTATCACCAGGATACTTTCTATTGTATGTCCAGACCAAGAGCTCTGCCTGGTTACCTTCTACTCCTGAACCCTTTCAGCTCTGGAACTTAATTATGACACTCATGATAAGGAACTTTTAGCCATCTATGAAGTTTTCCATTCCTGGCAACACTACCTTGAAGACTCTGCCCAGCCAATAGACATTGTCATGGACCACAAGAACCTTGAGTACTTTGCTATGACAAAACTTCTCACCCACTGACAGGCCCACTGGTCAGAATACCTGCACCAGTTCAACCTAATTATCTGTTTCTGACCCAGAAAACTCAGAGCAAAGCCTGACTCCTGGACTAGATGTTGGGATGTCTACCCCAAAGAGGGGGATAAGGACTACACTCAATTTAATCCACACAACCTGTGGCCAATATTTACCACAGAACAGCTCACTGTCCTTCCAGGCATCACACCTAGCAATTCTGGTACTCTGGGTAGCTGTACTAATTGATGTCAAGTAACTTCATAAGGACATTCTATCTGCCCTCCCCAATGACCCTATCACTTCCAGTCATCTTCCAGATCCATCAGACCCAAGATGGACAATGGACAAAAGTAGATTCCTCCATTGTGACAACCATATATATATTCCAGAATCCAATGACCTTTGTGTCCAAGTGCTCCAGAATACACATGACCACCCCCTATTAGACATTTTGGTCAGAACTGGACCCTGGAAATTATCTGTCAAGAATATACTTGGCCCAAAATCTGCACATATGTCAAATACTATGTCAAGTCCTGTATAACCTGTGCCTGAGCTAAAGTTCCTAGACATAAACCATATGGATTATTAAAACAACTTCCCATTCCCGAGAAGCCATGGAATTTTATATCTATGGACTTCATTGAATAACTCCCTGATTCCTCTGGCTTCACTACTACTCTGGTAGTTATAGATCAACTATCCAAGCAAGCCATATTCATCCTAACCTATGACACCATCACCTTTCTGGACCTCACACCATTATTCCTCCTCCATGTGTTTTCCAAGCACAGAGTTCCTTCCCATGTCACTTCTGATCATGGTACAGAATTTGTCACCCACTTCTTCCAGTTGCTCGGAAAAGCACTTAACATGATCCTCCATTTCACCTCCAGATATCATCCAGAAGGCAATAGACAAACTGAGCGAGCTAACCAAACCCTAGAACAATACCTCCAGATCTACTGCAACTATTAGCAGGATAATTAGTCGTAACTGTTACCCTTGGCTGGTCAGTACTAGACACGTATCCTGTCAAAATCACATATTACATTCCTTGACATTCTTCTGATTATCCAAGGGTTCTGCACATTCATACAAGTCATCTGGAGGTCATCTGTCCACTTCTGAGGCCTATTTAGCTGTTCTGGTTCTCTGCATCATGTCCTGTCCTTGTCTATTTGACTTCGCTGATGTGTTTCTCACTTGTCTGTCAGTCATTAATAATGATTAGGGGCATATATGTTGAAAAGCCTTGTTAATACATATAGATATGCACCTCGTGCATTATTACATGTATATCTTCATAGTGACTTGCCTTGAAGTCTTATTACATTTCAGATGGCTTATCTCGCTACAGTTTTTGCCTACATAGGTTCTAGACCTTCATGCAGTAAGATATAATCTGGCTCACTAGTTACTCACAACTCACTTCACTTCCCTTGCTACGAGTCATAGTTAGTAGAGTCACTTTTGTATTTTAGTACTTCACGCAATCAATCTTTTGTTCATTTGGAATTATTGTTTGGCCTGACTGCTGCCATTTTGCTTATTGATTTCCTTTAGTCTTTCAACGGACTTCACCTAGTTATACTATGCAAGTTCTATACTTCAATAAACCCACCATATACTTCGCCAGAAACCTTGTTGTTTCACTGGAAGCTCACCAGAAGCTTTGCCTGACCTCGGACCTTCATTTCTTGATGTCAGACCTTGCCCAGACACATTAGACCAATACTTCGGACACTTCAGATGATTCTTTGGAACTCTGACTGTACTTTAGATATCTTTTCCTTCTCTCTCCTTTGATCTTAACAAGACATCCCTTGCATTTTTTATATCAAGAGATAGTTCTATAGGCAGTCTCTCTGGGACAAACATCTCACTTGCACATTGAGTCTTAAGGTAACACCTTTTGTATAGCCCACACCAAACCAGCTCTTTATACCAGCAATGTTTTTCCACCAATGGCTGCCAGCATCATGGCCTCAGGGGTGTCAGCAATATAGCTTGCAAGAGCAGTGAAGCAATACCAACTGCATCCAATAGAATCAGACAGCACAACACCATGCTGAGCATATTTCTTAAGTGGCTCAAGAACGATATTGAGGCACTGATGTATAAGGTGATCCTCTAATATGTCCTTCATTCGCTTTTTCTTGTGAATGAACTTGGGGACTGGTAATAGGGTAGTGAGAACAAAAGAGTTGGCTGATGATTTTAAGTGTACATTCATATAGATGTTGGAGAGGCTAATTAGGAGCAGATGAGCTACATGATCCCTCATTAATGCAGTAATGTCCATCTTGTCAAAGGAGAGAATGGTGCCGAGGAGGGTTGCACCCTTGGGTATTGCTGACTTCAAGAATACATGAGTGCCAGACCTCAATATTCGACTATCTACTCACCTGCATATCCCATGCATCGTTTCCTGACATCCATCTGGTATATACACGACATAGTTTCTCTGTGGTAGAGTAAATCTTGCAAGGCATGAGATCCATATGACAGTGAAATAGTGGGTGATTAAAGATGCTAGTGATACATTCAATAGGGTCATGCCAGTACAGAATTACTGGCGACTTTGTAGAATGTGATGTATGAATGACTTGAGACTTCCAGCATGGACCACTGGGCAGCATCTCAGCTCAAATGTGTAGTTCTCTGACAGAGCAGAATGACAAGGGTGAATCCTTGATCTAAAAAGACATGAATTGTTAGCAGTGAAAGTAAAGTAGACAAACTGACCATTTTGAGTGATAGAAAAGAGTCGATCTTCCCCATGCTTAGGCCCAAACATAAGAGCCATGCTGTAAGTTGTCAATCTTATCAACTGCTAAATGGATAATAGAGATTTGTTTCTGATATACACTGTTTTCATCTGCATCAAACAGCCCCAAGAATGTTGATCATATCCTCTAACCACATGTTGCATCTGGACTAACACTGGCTCATATGATGAGCAACAGAAGTGTGATCTTTGAAGATTTTGCCACATGAGGAGCAGCTGGAATCATGATAAGACATACTAGTAAGACAGTCAGCCTAGTAAGAAACATCCTGTCAGACTTCAGTAATATGGCTGATACAGATACCAGTGTAGAGACTCATGCCTCTCATGGTCTGATATGGCACTTGTCCCTAGGGAGTATATGGCACAAACTTGTAGTGCCACTCTGTGTGCTATCCACAGCTATCCCTATATGAGGCGCAGCTTTCCTGCACAATGTGCATGCGCGCACTCTTCCCATGCTTCATGATGTATATGCGTGCATACTTTCCTACGCTTGAGCGCCCTATAGTGCCAGCCATCCAGACACATCCACCCACTGTCCACCAAGCTCTCTAGTGCATATATTTCCATTTCCTTTACTTGCATATTGTTCCACCTTTATTTTTATCATAGACCCTTACTTATATACAGTCGAAGCCCTCTTATCCCATAGCTCTGGTAACCCATACTCCCATATACTCCATAGGTTTTTCAAGTTACCAAGTTGAAATGCGGGGGATTTCAACCCATAACTCTCTAATACTCCATAATCCATACCCTTCATAACATAAAACCCATACAATTACTAGTGTATTTTTGGTACATTTGTTGCCAAACCCTAATTTTTTAGAGTGCTAATGCTCCACAAGCGCTGTATAAATTTTCTTGCCCACCGAGTCAAAACAAACCATGCCATTAAAGCCACTTGAAGTCCTCAAAAAGGCCTGAAAGTTCTCAAACTTTTGGTCCTTTTTTCTTGCCATTGTCTACCAGCCAGGCTTTTGACAAAAAGATTTGAGGTTTGGTTGCAACTTTTTAGTTAATTTTGTTTGCTCTTAAACTCTACTTGGTTATAATGCACTTATAAAATAACTTGTTTTTTTTCTGAATTTTTGTGATTTTGAGATCAAGTAGTATTTAAGATGACTGAATCAATCTATAATATGCTAAAGTCTCACAGTGATTAGACAAGCGGAGTCCCCCAACTCCATGCTGGGCGGTGGGCCAGAGACTTGTTAAAATTTTATTGCAAATAGAGAGACAAAGTACAGGACATGACAGCATAAAGTGTAATGGACATGAGACTCGATGAAACATGCTTGAATGAGCAAAGGAAATGCTTTGGTAGGAGGAAAAACCAATGTATCCCAAATGCCTCAGTCAGTGCGAGAATTTTACATAATTGAGCTATTTTTAATGACATCCTCGAAGGCCATACTCTCTCATAACCCATAGCTTGGAGCCATGACCGACAAGTATGGGATAAGAGGGCTTCGACTGTACAGGAAAATGAAGTATTATCAAGCTTGCTCAGACTCCAAGTAGATATTGCGGGGAAGACACTAGACAATGCAGACATGGGCCTGGGGTGCATCATGCATGAGACTTGCCTTCAAACAGCATGGCTAGTCTCATTTATCTACAAGACAACACAAAAGTGATCATCAGCATGCCAGTGAGTTTATGATCTGTGAGAGAAAGCAATTGTACTTGTCAAGTGCAGAAAATCTATTATCTGCTACAACAGAAGGTCCAAGTGGCCACACTCTCACTATCCAGCTTGACTGACCTGTTTGTCATGGACAGTTTGCACTACTATATGTCACATTAGGATATTCACCTCATGTACTACTAGCACTATTAGTACTATGTGTGTCCCTTACAGTTCATACAATGTTTATGCTCATGTTGTTATCTTGGTGTTTGAATGTAATTTTGCATTGTCCAAAGTCCACCCATAGTCCAAAATAAAAGATCAAGTTTGCATTTATATGGTATTACTATGTCAGAAATTTCTAAAGGTGCCTTGCAAGGGACCCCTCTTGAGGCTAATTGAGGGGTTGCAAGATCAATGCAAGAACACCCGAAATTTATTGGAAAGAACTTGCAATTGCATCACAAGTGGCTTACAAGGGGCTGTAAACAAAAATTTTGCAAAAATCTGTCCCTAAATGAGGTTGCAATCAGCTTGCAAGTGTCAATTGATCCCCACTTGCAAGATTTTCGGGTCCACTTCCAAGGCACTTCAAATGGGCTCGGTCAATTGAGAGCTTGCAATGCCTTATCAGGCATGCCAAGCAAAAATAACTTTTTCCAACATAGTACTAGTATATACTACTTACTACTAGTAGCTATTCAAACTCGGACTCCTTCAACTTTCAAATGCAAAGTTCTGTGAGTCATGTCAAACTGTGAGTGATTGTAATAAATGTATACCTTGTGGTACTATTTGCTGTGACTCTTGGCGGAACTGTGAAACCTGTGATCAGCTGTCGTGGGAACATAAGTCATGTGCCTTCTGTGGGGAAAGTTGTAGTTTGCTGATGCGCTCTGGATCTTTGAAAGGATGTACTCTGCGAAAAGCTGTTTCCGACCTCCGCACTGATACGAACAGCTCTAAAACGCATTGTCGAAAGTACGGAGTCTGCATGCCACTTGAACAATATCGGGAGAGAAGAGGAGAAAAACACGACAGCAAATTTAGTGTACAAACACCTCTTATTGTAATTCATGGTAAACGTCCGAAGACAGACAAATTGCTTCTTAGACGTATCTTCACAGCCTGAAGTTGGATCTGGCCTCGTCCTGAAAAACGCCCGCAGGTCAAATATGATGGACAACAACCACAATGTTGAATTGCTTGGTATGCGATGGAGTAAGATCTAGGTGTTGATGAGCTGACAGGGCAGTGTATTTGGAAAAACGAGGAATGCCGAAAAGAGCCTGGGCAGGGACGCCTTGATGTGATGCTGAGGGTGATATGAGTCTCTGATGGTTAGCGGTCGAAAACACATAAGCCAGCGTCGCACATGCCGCAAGCGTGGTGATCGGGTCTGTGCGGTAAAGCGCGACAGCAGGGGAAATGACAATAATTGACGATAAAATAATAATGGTACTTCGTTCGCCGGACGTCGTTCGGACTTTTGTCGATACTAAAAACCATATGAAGAAAACCAGAAAAAGCGCACCTCGTTCAGGGTCATGAGTCATGATACTCATTTAATCGTCCAAGTGACGAAGATGGCCCTTTGAGGATAGGCCAGGCCAGCTCGTCAATCGGGCGACTAGTATAATCAAAGAACGAATATATGTATAAAAGGCAAAAGAAGGCACATCATTAATGGCACGTCATGACATGTCTACGTCCTGCGCGACGTCGGGTCGAGGTTCTCCTCGAGCTACCGAGTTAACCAGCTCCCTTCTCACTTCGAGGCCGATCTGTAAATGCGGATTAACGCGAATAACGTCCAGGAGAGCGTCTTTTTGGTCAGGGGTGAGATCCGGCGAGTATCTATAAAAAGCCGGATTTAGATTTGTACCGATATCGAATGCAACAATCTAACCTCTGGCAGAAAGCTAACAGGCTTTGATGCCAGAGCACTGGAAGCTTTTGGGTGTCACCACGCCCACGGGCTTTGTAAGTATTGGAAAGACGAATAAAATGAAACACCAAGGCATCAACAACTTTGTATGGAAGTTGGTATTTTTTGTCAATCAGGACGCGAATAAATAGAGAATTTGGTCCTGGGAATAATAAGTTACCCTGAAGATAGCGAACAATGATACTGTACCTGTATAGTCCATGTTTGCTATCCGAAGTAGAGCTGCTGCCGAATGCAAGACAGGCACTTTCTTCTTAGCAACGACAGAAGCAATGATAGCGGCCTCTTTAAGAGTACAGCCGTTCTAGTAGTGGTAGAAGTGATTAAGCATGATTAAAATTGTATGTCCGATGACCCACCTCCAACATCGGAAACACGATACCCTTGAAGAATGCTGCAGGCTTAAATAATGCACGCTTGAGGCATTCATAATATTGCACATTGAGCTTTTTATTGCTTTGTATATCCTCCCGTATTGCATCCAGGAGGACAACGGAAAGAAATAGTTGAACCTGAGCAGGCTTCATCGTAGACACGAAAATTCGTGTTGCTGCTCTGCATGCATGAGGGCTCCAATTTTCGGGACGAGTAAGCGCTAAGACTCTTGCCCATGCTGGGAGCGAGGGGATAACTTTGAAGAATTTTGGTAATGGCCCCGACTTATACCCGTGCAGGAAGATTGCGAGTCTGCAAGAAAAATGAGATTCAGAAAACGCCATTGCGTGAGCGAGAATATGCGTACTTTGAATAAGATTCTACGAGTCTAGGATCAAGACCGAGTGCTGGATCAGGATGTTCTTGATCTAGAAAACATGAGATGATAGCCTGAGCGACCAGGATTTGATCCGTACCTTGCTGCACCTTCTGCACGGCATTGACACCATTGGTCTCCCCACTCTCCAATTTAGCAAAAATAATATCTGCTAATGTTCGACGTTCACCAGAGTTAGATGGCAGGAGTGCATCCAATGCCTGGATATCTCCAGAATCTAATTGCTGAGGGGGATGGTGAGATGCAAACTAGCTGCATCAGAATGTACTGACAAACATATCCTCTGCGTCGCCGTTATCACTCATGTCATCAACGTCACTATCCTCGTCATCATTCGCGAATTGTATTCTGGGCTTGAAGATCTCGCGTTCATCCTCATGTCGAGGCTCATTTTCATCCTCGGGCATGTCGATCTCTTCTTGTTGATCCCTTGCGAGCTCAAATATTCTTCTCGACATTTTTGGGTCAAGAACTCCCTGTGCATTGCGCGATCAATCGATTTAACAGACATATTGGAGTGTACATACCTCTTCATCGCTAGAGGATTTCTGCCGCTTCGTGCGCTTCCCCGGTTGAGATACGCGACCATATTTCGCTTGTTGCTCATCGACATCCAGTTGTGCGTGGAGAGGATCATGCCTTGGCTTCACGGATTTCTGTACCCGAGGCATGATGGATTGTAGGAGGTTTATCGGAAATATTATTTTCTGATAGGATATTGATTACCTAATAATTACAAGGTAAATCAGACAGACTCCGACACCTCGACCTGATGCCAACTCCTGACGCGAGTCAATACTAGTCCCGCGTCCCAGTGATACAAGTAGTTTAAGGTGTTCTGCCTGTAGCTCTCCCGCGCTCAAAAGTTGCACAAGTCGAATTTGGTCTGGTATAACTATTAGACTAATACAAATTAGCAGGTACGTTCGGCAAAGGGAGTTACTAAGGTTCAATTTGATTCTCGTTTCCGCAGTGACGGCACAGGCAAAAAATTGACCACTGATTTCAGGCACACCGTGCTCTCTATCTCCCCCAGGATGTCGTCGTCCTCAGTTAAAGATGTAAGTCATTGTGTCACGGATCAAGGACTTCTCTTTACTATTTCTACGTGCAATATGGCCAAAAAATCATCTGAACAACCTGTACTGACCGTTTTTTTCTCATCGATCAGTGCCACTAATGCATTTTTCTACTCATAGACCCAGACCCTAGATAAGAACGGCCAAGAAATCAAAAGTGTTGGCTTCCAACGCTTTGGGTTCGACTGTGAGGTGTCCCTTGACGCCCTCCGATCACTGTATCTTCGATCCCACTATGTGGTCTCAGTTTCTGAGTCCCAGGTTCAGGAGCTGGATGCAAAGGAAGAGGAAGGACGCGGGTATCTGACGCAAGGCCCCAATGCCTACCAGTCCAAGTCAATCTTCCATCCAGACACACAGTCAATCTCGTACACGACCCTTTCTCGCTTCGCCCCAGTTAAGCTTTTACCTCCCTCATCAAGGAAGCGAGTTCTTGTCACTGGGGGTGCTGGTTTCGTCGGTTCTCATCTTGTCGATCGTCTCATGCTCTTGGGCCACGAGGTTACCGTCCTGGATAACTTCTTCACTGGTTCAAAGACCACCGTGAGTCACTGGGTTGGTCACCCAAACTTTGAATTAGTCCGTCACGACGTTGTGGAGCCCTTCATGATCGAGTGCGATCGTAAGCCCTTTAGCCTTTGTGTACTATTCGCTGCCTGGCTGACGATCATGGAACCTCAGAAATATACCATCTTGCTTGTCCCGCATCTCCTCCACACTATCAGTTCAATGCCGTGAAAACCATCAAAACTTCTTTCATAGGCACGTTGAACATGCTCGGCTTAGCCAAGCGCACGAAGGCTAGATTCCTTATTAGTAGCACATCCGGTATGGTTCTTTTCGATATTGTACCTCTTCTTTACTAATTCTGTTCCAGAAGTGTATGGTGACCCTGAAGTTCATCCTCAACCGGAAGATTAGTGAGCCATACTCAGTTCGCTTCTGATTGTGTTTTTATTATCTTGTAGCTGGGGTCACGTCAACCCGATAGGCCCTCGCGCCTGCTATGATGAGGGTAAACGTGTTGCGGAAACTCTCACATATGGCTTCCATCATCAAGATGGCGTGGATGTTCGGGTTGCGCGTATCTTTAACACTTACGGTTAGTCTTACACTCGTTGCCGTTTTCTATTACTTAACTATCACCCCTTAGGTCCCCGAAGTTCGTTTTCGTCACGTTTTAATCAAACTCGAGCGCTGATCTAAGGTTGATCTCACAGTGAACCCTCACGATGGCCGTGTGGTGTCCAACTTCATCGTCCAAGCCCTGCGCGGCGAGGATATGACCGTTTACGGAGATGGCACGCAGACTCGTTCCTTCCAGTACATCCACGACCTCATCGATGGCCTGATTGCCCTCATGAACTCCGATGAGTCGCGCCCAGTCAACATCGGTAACGGTGACGAATTCACTATTGGTGAATTCGCAGAACTCGTTCGCGAGATTGTAGAGAAAGTGCAAGAGGAAGATGGCATCAAGCCCGCGCGCCGCGTGCAGATTGTTTACAAGCCAATCCCGACTGATGATCCTCAGAAGAGGCGCCCTGATACGACCAGGGCAAAGAACAGCCTGGGGTGGCAACCCCGCTGGTCAGTGCGGATGGGCTTGGAAGAGATGGTCCGATACTATAAGGCTAAGATGTCAGAAGGGAGCATGTAAGCAGCTAAGCGGTATTTACAGGTGGACTCTCGGTATCCTTGGAATGTTGTTGTTACACTCTTTGTAGTCGATTGCAAACTTCATACATATCGGCAATTACATTTACATGAGTAGTATGAGCGTACTCTGAACATTTAGATGTGGATACATATATATGTGCTGAAAACATTAAGGTAGTTGTGAAATTCCAGACGTCGTGATGTGATCTGTGGCAGCCATGGGAAGAGAAAATGAGGGTTAATACTTTTGGTACAGATATCATGACCAGTCACGACGGTAACAAAGCCTTCGTTATAAGCCCTTTAGGCAGCTGACCACTTTGCGTCACTACCTTCTGCATCGTTCCTCTAATAACGTGCTTGTCGACTGAGCTAGCATTGTAGGTTGTTCGACGCATGCGACCATCCTGCGCGACCTCGTCTGTGACTAGGCTTTCTTTGTTCGCAGTCAAAGATCCTGCTACTGGACGTTCCGGAGAGTCGGCAGTCTTGGAATGTGACTGTTTGTACCCCTTGTAGTTGCGAGCGGCTTGGAGCTCAGAAGTGTCTGTAGCCGTATGAAGCACGATTGGGCGAATACGGAAAGCATGCGAACGTACCGATGTAGCTATTACCATGTTTGTCTCCTTGGAACCAGTGAGCTTCCTTCTTCCGTTCAGAGTATCTTGGAGTACAAAAAGGTTAGCAGAATGAAATTGGAGTGCGAGCGCTGTGACTGACTTCCGCAACGGCCGACCATCTCTCCCAAGCGGACAGTATGCTTTATCCAAGTCCTTCGCGTAAAACATCAGGTTTTCCAACTGGCTTTTCGCGACATCGGCTTTTACACATGAAAACGAAAGAGGAGAACAAGGATCCCTTTGGGCAATAGATGGAATGCCGACGAATTCCGCAAGTTTCGATAGAGCGACCTTTGACCGTTCTCGTATGGTCATATTTGGAGGAAGGAGGTCGGACCGCGTACGACGCTGTTGGGCAAGAAACTTTGAGAAGACCTGGTTCACTATCGAAGCGCTTCCAGGGATGATGTTCAGACAAGCTTTGGCGCCTGCAAAAGACGTAAGGCAGGCCGCTATGTGCTATCACGGGCGCACCTACCCTTGACAACGTACAACCGAGGTCCATCTTGGGCGTTTGGTAAATGCTGTTTCAGTTTCTCCGCGTATTTTAGCGGAGCTATGGGACTTGCTTCTCCCTGTAGATATGCATCAACACTCTGCTCGTTCCTCTGATCACAATTGCAGGATCAATACCTGAATAATAAGAACAGGGCAAGCGATACTGGCAAGTTCTTCGGGTCTCAAAAGCGTGCGCTTACGTGACACGTGAGCTGAAAACACAAAGTGAACACCATATAGCGCTCACATTCATCATAATGTTAACAAGTTCTACTATCCTCAGACGTTTTGTCGGAGGCGTGTATTTCTCCCAGTAGGCTATCAACTGTGATTGACTCAGCAATTGTGGTGCGATTGGTCGGAAATGACATACATCATCTTGAAGGTCTAGATTGTCGCTCTGCGGCGTGCACGTGGCACCGTAAATTTGCTAACGATTTGCGTGCCATGATCGGCGACTTACCTCCCCAGTCATGAAAGTCACTACTTCGTTCCCTGCATGTTCGAATGAGTCGAGGTCAGGTGCATGACACCATAATTGGAGGAGTTCGTCGTAGGCGTGGAAGACCCATTGGAGTCTAGACAAAATTATCAGAAAACAACCGATCAATCATCGCACAGTTACAAAAAAGGACATACTCTGTCGGTGGGGGGACGTCGCATAAAGTCAGACTTAGGACTTGCTCGGGCCACCTAGAGTGACAGTCAGCTGGTATCTATCACGCATTTTGGGACATACAATGTAGTAAGTCTTAGAGCTGCATTGACAGAAATGCCTTCGAATGCTAGTATGTGTGAGGGAGGTAAGAGTAAAGCCTTTGATTTAATTATCAGAAACCGGCTTATAAAAGTCTAATGAATGAATCGCACCTGGCAGGCCATAGCGAGATCTGCAGCATCAACGTAGCTGTCGTGCCATTGGCTGGGTCTACATCGTGATCGTCCGCAAGTCCGCTGGTCGAAGGCTATCAAGTTGTATTCTTTGGAGAGTCTGGGGTCGTCGAAGTGTCTAATCAACCAGCTGGAGTCCAGAAATAAGGGATGAAGGAGGATACAAGTGGGCCGCTCTGGGTCAAAGCTGCCAACATTACCGTAGTCAGAGTTAGTGATGTACCATATCGACACATAGTCGTCCCTGGATGGGATATCGATGTAGGGCATACGGAAGCAGAGCAAGAAATCGACCAACGACAAAACACCCACAAGTTTACAAAATAGTGTTATATATATAAAAGGGTCCAAGTGACAACAACGACCGCCTCCCTAGAAGGCCCTGACGGCCTTGGGTCAAATGCGATCAAATTTCTCATAAATAGCCGAGTAGCCTTCAAGAGGACAAGCTAAAATTATGAGCCAAACTTGTACATACATAGATATTTAGTCCATGATATGATCGACGACGAGTCGCTGCCTTCCAATTATTTTCAATTAAAAATGTGTACTTGCTCCCGTCTGTTCCTCAAATTCCCTTCCAAGGTCATGCTGCAGTACTTTCTGAATTATTGCCATTGCTCATCGATGCGTTTCTGAGGCGCCCAAATTTTAGTGTGTGGTTATTTGCTATAAATTCATTAATAATGACAACCAAGCTTTATACTCACGGTCCGGCTCTCCCCAAGCCATTCTCAGCCATCCCCGTTGTCAAGAACCTAGTCTTCTTCCTAGAATTTTGATTGACGTTACGAACCACTAGCCCCCATTCACGTGACGGAATGTCGCGGTAACAATGAATCTGGGCAATAAATACGGCCGAAATGACAACGTCGGAATCTTCCGCACCGCCTTGCCGCCGCAACTGTTTTTGTACCTCAAGATAATGGCAACAGAGATCTACTTCTTTGAAGCTGGAGTCAGTCGGAGTCAGCTTTTTGATCAGTCCCAGATTTCCCGTTCAAAATTGGTTGTGTCTCGAGATGAGAAGATCCGAGGACGTCCTGCTCCTCGAGCTGCGCAAGTTCTACGATTGCGATAACTGAAATTCGTTATCGCGTACGACATCATGCCGCAATGCAGGTAAATGGAAGCGACTCAAGCTTCCTCCCAGCGTCCCAGTTCCTCTCACGTCTCCGTCTCCTGAAGTAAGTTACTTGAGTATGCCATCTTGCACATGCACTTGCCGTCGATAGCATAACGGATGCCATGTTCTTCATTACCGGGATGGCTAGGCCTAGAACATTGTTCGACGGGCAGGCAATCAGCTTCCGACATTCGCACGCAAGCTCCGTCACGGGGTAAAGTTACCTGTGGCTCCCGTCCCTGCAGGGGTAGCTCTTGCCGCACACGGTAGTTTTTATTGTGCTGGGTCCGAAGATACTTTGTATCTGCAAAGATGACTTGGCACGGAACAGAAACATTTACAGACCCTCATTACCCCGCTATGCCTTCCAAGACTTGAATTACTCTCTGTTGTTTCTAATAACACGGCATTGAGATTGGTACATGTCTTCGTCGCTACTTGGATACTCACATCTCTATCGACCCGCAAATCAGAAGGGGACATCGTTGGTACTCCGAGGCCTTCGAGCGTGGACTGCTGCTTCTGCAAGAGACCGTCCCATGCGAAAAGCACGCGTTCTGCATCAAATTTTTGGAGCTCTTTGCGAAATGCATCGTTTAGCATCTGCCATGTGCGTTAGAATGAAAACGTGGTGTTGGTTGTGCTCACATCTGCCTCGTGTTGAGATATTCCTCCGCCAATCAAAGCGGCTCTGTGAGGGACATCGTTAATGACGAAAGGGGATCCATTGCTGGGAAATGCACGGACTTGGTCTGCGTAACCTTGACTTTATTCTCGTGTTTTCTATGTATAGTAAGTCGTTCTTCCCACAACTGTCTCTCCAGGTCATTCTGCTCTTTTCGTAACTAAAGTTCAGGAATCATATAATGTGAATGTGTAAAGACCGCCGGGAAGACATACATGGGATACGGCAGCAACGAAATCTGCACTTTCTGCTAGTTGTGTGAGACGGGGCAAGGCCTGCTGAAATGACATCATGCGAAGATCTTGCCCATGCGTAAGAGCATTGGTGCTTGCAGTTGACTGATGAACCGACTCTGCTGGAGGCTGAGGGATGGGACGGTGACTGACCGCTTGTGGAATTTTTAGGGGAGTCTGTTGAGTAGTAAAACGCGATGTCGAAGGTTGTGAGGGCCTCGATAGAATTTTAGGTTCGGATGAATTAAGTTGGGAAAGTAGGTCAGCCACCAAGGACGACGACTTAGACGCATCGTTTGTGGTGGCAGGTGGTTGCGTGAGTGGTGGTGTAGCCTGAGGTGTGGTCGAAGTCGGCGGTGTACCCTGGGGTGTGGTCGAGGTCGGTGGTGGATTCTTGGCTATGCCATTGAGGTCAGCGCCACTGCCAATGCTCTGCTGCCAGGCCTGTGACGACCTCAGTTGGTCGAGCAGGGCTTTGATACCTGCAGGATCCTATTAGTGGTCGCGAATCACGATCGATGTCAGTATCTATGTTGATCCGCTTCTTCATCGACATCGCTCACATTGATGTTCGTGAAGTTCATGAAGTCAGTGGCCGCTGACTAATACACTTTCTAGTACACAGCTCAGTACTATTTTAGTTGCGCGGACGTTTCTTGTGATCTCGAGTCCGATTATGAATTGAAAACTATGTACACATGGTGAAGTGCTCAAATTCACGCCTCGAGGCCGTTGTGTGAGATCACCGAATTAGTATCTTGACATCGTCTTTTGAGCTGGTGGGTATCGTTACTTGATCGATTGGATTGGTCGTGTAGGGAACTTGTCATGATACTCTCCAGTCTAGGATAATCATATGCGCCAGTTAGAACTAAAATTTCACAAGTAAGAGTCATATATTACATGTCATTTCGGACCGGGTCAACGTCGCGATGGTCTTTCCCTAAATGCTAAGTCCTCTCAACTTACGAGCTTACTTCCGACTCGGGAACCCCATCTATCTTACCAACTTTATATGAGCCTGATTCCGACTCGGATTCCAGTCCTGTCTATCACTGACAGGAGAAACCTTGTTGAAAGCACGTGCCTTGCCAAGGTGCCGGCCATCTTCGGAGCATGCCCTGATTAGTAAAAGGCGGTAGCGTACTGCGTTCCCGATCGAACGTCACAGCGTACTCGATCGTAGCCGTACCGTGCGCCGCGGCCCGATCGGAGCACTGCATCGGCAACCGTAACCACACAGACTCGATCGCAAGTCCACTACGGAATGACTCGGATGATCGTTTTAAAACTTTGACAGGGGCTCCGAACGGAGTTGTCACATTTTACCTACTATACCTCGAGGTTTAATTATTAAATGTGTCAACGGAGCTCAACGGTCGCGTAACTAGTACGTGTCTACGCATGTACCCAAACGACCCGCGACGTCGCGATTTGAAGCTTGACAACCCACTGAGCGGACAGTCAACGAGAAAGACAGCTGAAAGACGAAACAAACGTACCGAAGCCTTGAACCTCTCCGCCGATTTGGAATACCGCGGAGATGTCTGATAATCGCGCACTTTGCGCGACATGGTGACTAACATGCTGTGTATATCATAAACATCACATACATTTTATGTACGCAGACTCAAGTCAAGTGACAGCTATTCCAGGAACGAAACCAGCGTTCTGCCAGCGCAAGTTAGTGTACGTTTGATTTTGTGCAAGTCAAAATATATTCATACCGGTTACACGCAAATGAATCACTGAATTCAGTCGACGTAAAATATCACAGATAATGAAGTTTGCTTGCATGGTGGATTGTAGCGAATCCACACAGACTTTGTACTGGTGTTCAAGAGAAGAGCGATTACATGTAGACTGAGATTACAAGGAAAACTACTCATCGAAGACCGATCATCGGCAAGAGAATAATCCATGTGTACTATACAACTCAAGATCCGAGCCATCCATAGTCCAGTAAGCCCCCTAAGCTGATCGCGGTTCCGCGAGTGAACGGACCAAAAGGCACTGCGGAAGGCCGATTGATGATTTGCATGATATGATTTCCGCGGTTGGCACATCCTCCTCGTCGGCAGCTTAATGAGATCCGGACCGTGGTCCACAGGAAGTTGGACCAGTGGGCTCATCTTCGTCAGCATTCACATCATCAGACTATAGGCGCTTAGCGGAACAACGTTGTTGCAGCAGTGATCTTTCATGAATGTGCATAATTTTAATTCCGCGAGAACTGGTAACCGATTTCGCCATATGGCAAGGAGGTAAAGTCGGATGAGACGAGGGGCCCACTTCGAAAGGATAGTTGAAATTTGGGCGGAACGTAGAGCTTCCGAATAGTCGCGCAGATGACACGGTTTAGCCGTATGAATTAACCGGAAGAATTGGGATTGATCATGGGCAGTAGCCTATAGGCTCGCAAATACTGTAGTACTTCAAATGAATGAAAGGATTTAGAAGATTTCACGCACAGATCGCTTGGTTGTTTGAGGTTATTGCTCGCAAGCAACGCGCTGTTCGTGATACAATCCACGTGAGTTGGTTTCCCCCGAACAGAGCAGAAAAAGGATGACAGCCGCAGTACGATTCACATAAGTATCACTTTGACAAGTTTTAGACACGCACTGATTTCCTTCGCCAAAAGCTCTACGAGTGATCCCACCACCGAGTTCCGTTCGAGGGCTTCTCGAGGGCCTTCACCATTAGACCAGTCGGAAGGCCCTAGGGGAGGGTCCATGTGTTTCAAACGCTAGTGGTCGATACACGTGGAAACTGCATGGATCATATGTACGCATCATGATCACGCGATCATCTTAGACTCCCTCAACGGAACCTGTCAAAGTTACGTTCAGGTTCCTAGCAGGTGTTCCCTGTCATTTGATGTCAGTAAAGTCCACCGGTTTCTCACGGAATGCAGCCTAAGCCAGTGTAACCGAGAAAGAAAGGCTTGCAGAGCAGAGAAATCGTAGGACTGGAGCGATGACTCGAACTGTTTAGCCTTGGGAAGCGAAGTGCGACTCAAGTAGAAGATTCGAATTTTACCCAAATTTGCAAATGTATGATCAGGCCAAGAGCGATGACATTGTATGGCTGACAGGGGATCGAGGAATATCGACTCAGTCACCATGTTACGGAAAGGGAGTCTAGTGCCTCAGTATGATGCGAAAGCGATGTGCTAATAAAGTAAGTTTTGGGACTCCTGCCTCGTGTTAAAGTGACGACGGCATCCCGTAAACATGACCAATAGGCTGTTCTATAGTAGCAATATCAATAGACGTTATTATTGAAGCGGGGTCAATGACAACAAAAAGGATTGTTGGCTGACATAGAAAACACAAAGGTTCTGAAGGAGAAAACGTACTTGAAACAATTGAACGACATCTAGTCGGGATGTGGCAAAATAGAACCACTACTCGCAGTGGTTACCCGTGTACTAATAGCCAAAAAGACTGTGCGAGAGTCTCGGAGGATGGGGCGACGGATCAGGCAGCCGTTCTCGGGGCAGTGTGCCGACGACGATTGTTGAGATCAAAGTGAACCGCCACAGCCGCGGCGCCACTTGCTAAAAAGAGTCACACGCAAATGCGGAAATGGTCAGCAAGCGATATAAGCGCTGCAGCTTTCGGCACATGAGAAGACTCAACGGATGAGGACTGTTGAGAATTTTAATCTCGACTCCCGGGTGCCTTCGTTGCACAGTCTATCAGTCATGTTAAGGGACAAGTAGCACAATGATAAAACCGATGACGGCGTCGTCACTAGAGTAAATCTGCTGTGGGAAGGAAAGTTACAAAATAGGCGGCCGAGGGCCGAGGTGTTTATTACGGTTCAAATTATTATTAATGTGACAAATGTGACAATAAATATTAAATAATCTTGCCACCAAAACTTACCCACGACTACCGAGCCTCCTTCCCTTCTTTACGCCCTGCCTCGCTGCCATCAACATCTTTCTTATTCTTCCTTTTCTTGCAACCGCGTCCGTCGTTTAATTCTGTACTTTCTTCCTCATCACTCTATCTTCCCTTGATTTCAGCCTCCTTTTGCCCTATCAATGACATCCGTAGATCAGGCAGAGCAGTCTGCTCAGGCGAGTTCATCTCATATGATGAAGACCACAAAACGGGGGAGGCCTTTTCTCAAGGTGAGCTTGTATAGTCTTCTCAATGTTATTAGCTAATTGCTTCGGCGCAGGACACCCTTGACCTATTTGCAACGCTCATCGTATCTCTTCATCTGACCACGCACAAACAATATTTTCGCACTTTCCCGAACTCATTCACCACGTCCGTACTTGATCGCCCATTTCCATAACTTACATCTCATACTCTTTCTTAGGGATGAAGCTGCTGCGAACTTGGCATCTCTCAAGTTCTCTCAGTCAAATCGCGGGCCGGATCCCAGAGATAAATCACGAATAGTGACGACTACTACCACCACGACATTCTCGATGACTCGTGACATGGCAAAGGCTATGTGTCAACACTTCATGGACGCTCGCTTGATCGAAAACGCCGCCGATCTTGGTAGCAATCTTTTCAAAGATCGCGGTACTTATGTCCTCACGCCCAAGGGTCTCCATGTCCTGGAACGATTCATATCCAAGAACGGCATGACTTCCGACCATCTGCAACCCGTATTTGCCTCTCAACCAATATGCATCAAGCTATTACATCTAGAGCGTCGGTCGGCTGACGATGAGATTATCGTTACACAATCCGTCATAACTGCGCTCTTCCGTCGATTTGTTGGTCGTCAGCCCAACTACCCCACCCAACTGTCGACTAATCCGCAAGATGCCTTTCAAGAATACCACGAGCGATCCAAGGGTGTACCTTTGATGGATGTGCAAGAGCGCGCGCAGCCTTTGCTGGGCAAAGCCACGGTCATGCACAAGCACTGTTTCGCTGCCGTGAGTGCTCTTGAATGGCTCTGCGACTTCACCTCTGTTGTTGGAAGAGAAGAAGCGGCGGAGATGGCTGCTCAGTTTGTTCGCTTCGGCCTCATCATATTGGTTAGCGACAAACGGAAAAACAACGACTCTGCCATCATTTTCACCGTTCGTGGCTCTACCCCAGGCGGGAATTCTCCAGTCAGCGTAAGTTCCAGTCAATGAATCATTCGCAGGTGTTCTTATCGAATCGTTTGTTCCAGCAACACGGAGAGTTCCGATGTACAGCTAAAGCTATCTATAGAATCACAGACGAAGGCAAACGACTCGCTCAGTGGGACGAAGTCAGCACGTCCCCTTTCAGCTCGACGGTGAACCTGCATCATGTCGAGCGCTCGTCGCTAGAAAGTGAATCCATCAATGGTACTCCGAAGACGGGAATTGAAGCAGCTGATGCTAAAATTCATCGTCGCATATCCATGGCGGAGAAGCTCAATTCCAGTCACGAGGCTGCAGAGAAGAAAGGCAACGTCAAGAGCAATACCGACCGTCTCAAATATATCCTGGAAGAACCATCATATCGCGCTCTCTTCCGTGATTTCCTGAAGGCGAACTTCTGTGAAGAGAATTTGGCGTTTTGGATGGATGTCGAAGATTTCAAGCGCAAGTTCAATACGACTTCTAGTGCACAAGCTGCAGCACCTACTCGGTCAGGCAGCAAAGCGACTCCAGGTCAAGCCGCCATGGAGAGACATCACGAGGCTTTGATCCAGACTGCGTTCCAAATATACAACAAATACCTCGCGCCATCAAGTCAGAACGAGCTCAACATTGATCATGGCCTTCGGCTCGATCTCGCCAATTATCTTGGTGAAGTGATGGTTGGCCTGCACGGCAAATCGTTCGACGGACAAGTAGATGCTAGTCAAGCTGGCTCTTTCAACGCCACGCAACTGCAAGTTCTGATCAAACTTTACACGCGCATTCAAACGCATGTTCTTCGATTGATGGCTATGGACTCGCTGCCCAAGGTATGCTTCTTTTTTGCTTCCAAGATTTTCTCCTTCTTACGTTATTAATGTGTGCAGTTCATTAAAACGCAGCGGTTTCTGGACGCGCGGCAGTGGCTAGGAGAGGGGGATGCGCCAGGTGATGACGTTCAATTCCTCACCAGTCCCCCTGCTCCTCCTGGCCTCGGTTCTGAGGAGACCGGTGGGGCTTACATCACAGTGTCTTTGAAAGGCAGTGAGCGAGAACACCGGCATCACCAAAGAGACATACCAGGGTCGCCACATGTCTCATGAGCGAATGTCCTCTCCATTTCGCTTTTCATGGACTTATTCATTGCTACTCTAATTGTGGCGTGCTTGCGGATGCCTCCTGCACGACATCGTACAATCATCAACCCGGCTGACCACCGTATGCTCACCATCCATGTTGTTTTCTCCTTCTATCGCATTTGATTCCAAACCCGGGGGGTTATCGTTTCATAATTTCTTCATCGCCGTAATTGTTTTCATCTCTTTGGCATCATCCAGTATAGTATCCTGGGCCGGCTTGTCATGCTTTAACAATATTCCCCAACCCTGTCGAGCCTTTCCATCTCATCGCATTATGACGGTATCTTCTCTACATCCAGTCCCTTCGCGGTGTACAGTCTACTTAATACCCTACACTTACCTACTGCCTTGTTATGTAGGTAGCACTTAATTTCATGACTTCCTGTCGTATATCAAGGAGTCATATGCTACTTGTTGCATGTATGTACTTGAGGTGGATTGATTGGATCATCTCGCATGTCGTGATCTCTAGTGACAGTGATCGGCAAGATCTCAGCTCCATGGCTTGCAATGCATAGCAAGCACTATTTGCATTATTAAACAGACACGGTCGTGTTTAGAATTAATGCAAGTAGTACAACGACGCATCCGAGGGCCAGGGCTCCGTGTGTCCCTACGTTCCTATTAGGCAGCTGCAAAGACCTTTGTGCGAACATCGACAACAGTTTACCCACACAAGCGCAAACAGCTTTAACTTGCATTGCTTCCGAGTTAATACCGCGACGTTTCAGAGTGTTCAGTTGGTGTTCAGTGACAGAACCATTTCTGCATCCGCGAGGTCGCACACGAATCATGTCTTGGATATGGAACCCAGATGGTGATGCTCCAAAGCCACCAACAGAGGACAATATGACACAGGACCCATCCGACCCTACCAGGAAGGTGACCAAGAAAGCTGCGAATCAACCCTTCTTAGCGTACGTGGCCGTTACCTGCTTGCAGACTCCATCAACTAACGATTTATAGTCATAAGCAATATAAAGAGAAGCAAGAACAGGAGCACCTAGCATGGCTTGAAAGAAATCGCGAGCGTGAGGAGAAACTCGCCAGAGGAGAAGAAGTTGGTCCTGCGGAGGAGGATCCTACTGCCGAGCAGGAAGTAGGGTTCCTCGGGCTGCTGAAGTTCATTGTGTATTTAATTCTCATTATTGTCATCGCGGGCAAGTTCTTCACTGGCAGCTTCCTGTGGGAATACGATGGAAAGTGGGCGCGGCTGAAGACATATTGGCCAGTTCGTTTGGTTCCATTAAGTTCTTCATCGACATCCCTGACTTTGTCCACACACATTGTAGGAGCAAAATGGACGCTTGTTCTCAGAAACATATTTGGCCACATTTGATGGGCGTGACCCCGCAAAACCCCTGTACCTCGCGGTATGGTCAACAGTTTCAAGTGATCGTCCATACACCTCATCATTCTCGTGCAGATCGATGGTGACGTATTTGATGTCTCGAGTAGTAGCAGGACGTACGGTCCTGGAGGTCCTTATCACCATATGTGGGTATATGCCATGCTTCCTCGACTTCCTTATCGATTATTTGCAGGGTCGGAGTGGATGCAGCTAGGTCGTTTGGTACAGGATGTTTTGCCACTCACCGCACACATGACCTACGAGGTCTGACCGATGACGAGCTCAGGGTCAGTGTCGATGACGTCTTCAGTGTTCACACAGGACTAATCTGTCAATACACATGTAGGGCGTCCAACATTGGAAGAAGTTCTTTGCAGAGCACAAAACATACTACAAAGTTGGCAAAGTCCTGCACCACCCTATTGATCCCACGAGTCCGATACCTAAACATTGCGATGCAAAGAAAGAACAGAAAGGCCATCCAACAACTGGGAATTCTAACCCCATGTCCCATTCTAAGGGTGATTCGGAGGTGCCAATCCGTGAGGAGTTATAATCTACAGGTAGAGCTATTGATGTCCGTTATTATAAAGATAATAGGCACGTATGGCATGTATATAGGATAGTGTTGCATCTAGCATATCTACATAAGTTTTTTTTCATCATGGAGTAGATTGTCCGTGTCACAGAAGCATCTTCAGGTTGATATCCGCATACAGCTAAGTGCGGTTTTTTTTAGGACTGACGGTAATGATCAGTATGATGTCTTCGACAAGGGACCACTCGCTTGCTTACCTGAGGCGCACCGTGCGTCATAAAGTAGTTCCTCAGTATTGGAAAGTCAGCAATTGATCCATTGACCATTGATGAGAAGGGGCTCTCCCGATACTTGGCGACGATGATATTTCCGCGCCACGCAGTTGCCTCTCTGAATGATCGCCCCTGGATCTCCCTGATACACTTATTGATAGGGAAGGGCATCCCGTCACGAGAGACAGGTTGGATAATAGATAACGTAAGGATGAACGAATTTTTTGTTCATACCGTCGAGAGCCTCGACGAGCTATGAGTCCAACGTCAGATTTCGGCAGAGATGATGTGACCTTGTGCTCACATGATAATGCCAGGCTCGGGGACCGAGGCCTTCGGCGATGTAGTCCATATAGACTTCGGGATGTGGCATCCGAGAAGGCAGGGTGCTATATGGAGTATGTGGGTCGGGTACCGACATGGGGCTTGTCATCAAAGCCACCATATGTGGATTGCGGCCGTCAGAAGGAAATAGGAGAGCTTCGAATGACACTAATTGGTCCATGAATGTGTTTCCAGAAGGAGATGGATTGGAGAATATGAGTGAGATTTAAGCAGCAAAGTAGAAATAGTTGTGAACCTCGAGTGGACTTGAAGTCTTAGCGGTGTAGTCGAGCACTTTGGGGAAAGAGGAGTGAGTGACTCTTCTTTATAGAGGTCTTACCTGGAGACATGAGGATGGGCCGCCGAGATCTGTGAAGTATCACAAATAATACAACGGTTTTAGTGTAGGCACGAGGACGGTCAATAAGAACAAGTTAACGATTTAAATTGGATGTGCCGCGAAGTAGATGAGTCGCGTTGAAGTGGATTTGCAATTTGATGATGGGGAGTCATAATAGTCTTCCCGATCTACCCTTGGTTGTTCTCAGCCTGGATGATGCGTTGATGGATCATGATCGCAGTGCTTGTAGTGACTGTGAGTGCGGGAAGCAACGTAGCATAATAAAGCCCTACAAGTGTGGACGGCACCGACAAATCGGGAAGTTTTAATGCTTATTAGCTTATTCTATACCGCGCCGTCATCTCGAGGTCGTAGACGACATAAAAATTGCAAAAGTTGACATAAAAATCAGGGTATGTGTTTTCTGTACATGCCTTGAGGTCGTTTCTGACAGTTTTGGGGTCGATCATTAGCAACGCGTGTTTGTCTGCGTGCGTTTTTTAGTCTTTCGGCTCGGCCGCACTCTCACAGTTGGCCGGTTGAACTAAAGGTCAATCTTATCTGTTACAACTCGCTTGCGGGAGTCACGAATAAAACCGACAGATTGATATAGCATCGGATCTGGCAGAGCCTCTTTTCAATTCTACGCAGGCCCATCTTACAATGTATCGCGACGTTGCGTTCAACCTGGCGGTGCCTCAAATTGGCCGTCGAGCAATACGGCGTGTAAACAAGGGGTATATGAACGTGGATGGAAGTCTTTCGCGGCCGACTCATGCAGCCGGTCCAGACCTTCTCTAAACAGATTGGTCTCAGCGGTACCTGTGCACTATTCAATGGTGTAAGATCCCGTGCACCAAATCTCTAAAAACCTCCGCTTACAAGCTGACCGTGAAGCAGATGTGACTTGTACGACACCTTGAACTTCTTGATGGCTGTCCGACCGTCTCCTTAAGGGTGTCATGGGATCATTTCGTGACAAGGAGACTCATCTAGGCTCAACCTACTACCAACTACAGGAATGTTCTTTTTTCATTCATTTGCTAAATCTTCTGATCCGTTCCCTGGGGGCACTCTCAAGGCACGTTGTAGTGGCCGCAACCGCTGGGCCCAGAGCATGTATATTGTTCCTAGTATGTGGCGCAACAATTTTTTTTGCGCCAAGTACCAGGTATGAGCAACAGATTTTTGGGGTTCGCTCGCCAGTGAGACCATCAATGTATGATATACCTGATTGAGACTTGAATCGTTAATGCCCGGCATACACACCAATGCGTGTTCGTGATGGGATCCGCCGTGGATTCAGCGCCACCTGTGATGTTTTAGCACGGCGCGGTTATGTTGAAGCCCTAGATAAGGTGAGATATCGGAAGAATGTATGAATCATAGCCGGAGAGTAGCTTTACGCCAGCACCGTGATTTCATGTGCTGTAGGTAATGCATATCCGATGGATCAGTACTCAGTCCATAAATGCATAAAGTTCTTTTACTTATCGTCCTGGCCCAACCAGACCACTCAATCGAACAAAAGATCAGTATAATTGACTCCGTTGAGAATCATGATCCATCAATTATTCATGTCCGCATGGTAGTAATATATCAGGCTGGTGGTTGCACGCAGCTGCACAGCACACAGACTCGAAATGTATAAAGTCTCGAGTGCTATGTGTACTCCTTTCGATATGATTAATACCGAAGTGGTATAATAGCTGGTATGTATTGGGTCTGTTTGAAGTTGATACAGGAGTCCATGATTAGTTATGAGTTAGTGTGGACGGTCTCGATCAGACATACCCTTCATGCTGTCCCATGACGAAAAGCACAAGCTACTAGGCGCGCCGGTATCACACGAAGCTTATTTTGCCGGGCTGGGTTAGGTGCCTATCGGGGCGAGATGATCAACGTTGCAAGCTAAAGTTCATTTGGCGCGCTTGTCAACCGAAAAAGGTAACTAAGTTATAAGCCGCCAGGGCGTCTATTGTTTTCTAGTAGCACAGACCCTTGACCTTTCTTTGCAGAGACAAGCCATTTATTGCTTAGACTATCGTCTTGTGCATCATCTGGCTACCTATAGCATCAGAATGAACAGTGGTAACATTCTCGTTGCCGCTCAGCTCTCGTCGCTTTATCCTTCCTCTAATGCCATATCCCAAGTTCTTCAGACTGAACGTCGAAATCTGCCACTCCCCCCACCACACACTGACACGGATTCGTCCTCAGAACACGCTTCATATTCATCAACATTCTATGCTCCTCACACAGGAACAATCCTTCTACGCGTTATTCATGGTGGTCTGATATTGGAACTTATCTCTCTTTCCACTGATGTTCCCCCGATTCGATTCGTCTTCCCCTCTGCAGTCTTGCCCGCTCCAGCTATCTTCGCATGGGGCGAGAAGGAGTTACACGTATTAGCAGTAATCTCTAGCGGCTCATTATTCCGTTTGGTTCTACCCACCGTCAACCCGACGCGATTATGGCACGATCCATTGCCCAAACAGTGGAGTCGAGAATATATAATCAAAAACGTGCCAGAACAATTCTATGGCGTGGTGCAAGCACAAGGTTTACTATGCGTGGCGATTGGGTTGACAAATGGCTCCCTTATCCGCATAGAAGCTGAGAATATCGGAGATGACAACTTCCATGGTATGTACCTTTAACGTCCGTAAGGTAGTCTTTGACATTTCTCTGCTGCGTAGACCTTTGGGCGGAACATGTTTACTCCCCAAGTTCATTTCTGGGAACACTCACTTCATATTTGCCTAGTTTACAATCCTCGAGTTCTGCAGGGTCAGAGATTCTCTCTGTTGCTAGCAGGCCGCAGCCCACCGAGCTGGGCTATATGTGGACGCTCTCACGGGATCGTACTTTACGACTATGGACAGCAAAAGGTGGCTGTGTTGCCTCCAAAACTTTGTCTTTGTCAGGCAAGGTGTCAGGAGAGTCATATGTGACTTCCAACGGCATCAAATCTGAGCTTCTTGGAGCTGAGCCACGTAATCTCCTCCGGATATTTGGAAATGGGGGCGACGATGAAACCACGTACGCCGTTGCGTTTACGCCAACTCCTTCATATCCACAGTCTGGTGGTTACTTCCAACTCATTGCTATTAACTCCGATCAAATGCGCGAGGTTCAAACCGTTGAATGCTCTGCTTCCAGCGCTCATTGTCACCTTCAAGATTTCATAATTAACGATGACTTCCTATACACATTATGGGAACGTCAAGGGTCCTCCATGACAGAGAGAACTAGGTTAAATATAGCAGTGACTGATGGTTCTGATGCAATTTGGGAGACTGCTACCTATGGAGAAGAGACGGACTTGACTCCTACGAATCTCGACGAGCTCCTTCGCTCCCCCGGTTCGTTGACCGATAAATTCATGACCGCAATTTTGAGACCAGGCGTGTTCTCTCCACTTACTCTGCGGACTGCTGTGGAGCAGTACACAGATGCATGCCTCTCAGTCTCCGGACCACATCCACCCCCTCAACTCACATCATCTTACCCCACTACGGCAGAGAATATCGCTGCGGTGGTCGGCTGTACTGTGAATTTAATGCAGGACCCACAGACAGGGGCGTTGCAGCATGATCGGTATTGGAATGCGCTCAAAAGAGACTGGGAGGGATTTGTTGCACGTTGCCGTGAAGTTGAGCGGAGCGCCCGCTGGCCTCTGGGATTAGGTAAAGGGAAAAGCAGAGATGAAGTAATTGTGATCGAACGAGAACGTGTAGGTGTCTATGTGAAGGAAGACCTGCCACTCAACGTTCATCGGTACCTTTCGGACTCCCTCCCAGTGGAACCTCACTTTGCCGTCTTGGACATACTCTGGACACTTTGCGACAAGATAGGACACGAGGCGCTTCAAAATCTGGAGACCAGGATTGTTGATATTCTCCATCAAGAGATTGCATTTTCCATCGTGGATATTATTGAAGACCAAGCGCAGCGCTTCAACTTCAAGGCTTCCCTTGATGAGCCATCAGAAGTCAGCATTATAGCAAGGTTGCAAGGCATAGAAGACCTCGACGGTGCCGTCCGAATAATCCTTGATCTCGTCGCAGGCTTTGAACAAGAAGTAAAGCAAGAAGAGGATGAAGTCGAGTTATTGCTCCCAAGCAGTCGGTCTGATTGGACGACCGCTTTATCCGCATCATACATCACGACGACAGTGCATGCCCGCTATGATATATGCATCGCACTGGTCACCTTACTGTTCTTCCTAGCTGATGATCTGAAGGAATGGGATCCTTCGCTAGTAGAAGAAGTCTTCGCAGTGTTCCGAGGGTTGGCGATGTTACGATCTGTAGCACGCCAACCTGCAGCAGATACAGGCGGTGAACAAGAGGCATCGGACGAATTATTGACCACTGACGATGTGATCGCTCGGATGAGCAATATGCATGTGTCTAGGAACCAGCCTCGCTTTGTCCCGACTTTTTCGCTACTTCACCGCCTTGCAGGTCAGTCCGGTGAGACGATGGAACTACCGGGGGCAGCTCATCGTTTTTTGGACGCGAGCGGCGTGCTTCAGTCTACTTCCCCTGCTCGGGTGACGCAGTTCGAAGCGCTCTTTTGTGAACGTCTCCGCCTTTTGGGATACTACGAAGTTGCCCGAGAAATGTTGGCATGGCTACCGCGCACACCGGGCGTAGTATTCATTGCCGCATGCCTATACATCAATATTGGTCGTGCTGAAGATGCTGCCCAGCTGATGGAAAAAGTTGCTGGAAGCTTTGGTGAGAACGCCGTCTGAAATTGACATTTTCGTGCTCACGGTTCTCTTATAGGTCATGATAGTGGGCTCTCATTGGAGGATGCGGAAACGCTAG